TGGATGTGCAATGAAGTTTTATTTTTTTGAAACGGGTTGCCACCTGTTACTAATTTCATCAAATTATTTAATAAGTTAAATGAACTAGATATTAAAATATGGGTATCAATTCAAATGGTTTGGAAAATGCTTTACTTTTAAACGACACGTAGAAGTGTTGCCACATGTTTAAGACATAAAATTCACTTTAATTAAGGGAATAAGGTAACTGAAATATGTATATCAATATGGATATCAGACAAAAGAAAAAATTTGGACATATTAAGTAAGTAGTTAATTAAAGAGTCCAGTAATTTAAAATGAATCAGAACAAATCACTGATTGATAACACAGGCGAACAAAATTGGGGGAAAAAATTTTGTTTTCTAAAATGTTAAGAATGTATTTTTGAAATTTTTTTCTATGAAGAGCTTACACATTGCAGGCAACGATTTTTTTTATTTTTGCCCACTTAGGCGGCACTGTGAGGGCGCGTTCACATAAAAGCCTCGTAAACTCACGAGTTTTACACAGTTTAAGACTTTACGAGTTTAAGCGAATCCCTTATCTGTTAAAAACTAAAATCGATATTTTGTTAGTTAAATCGAAATAAGTATATTTATGTATGTATATACTTTTAACCCGCTGGTTGCCTGTAAAGTGCAAAAATTAGAGGAATTGTTTGTACACATTTCCTTAATGCGAAGTGCCTCTACAATTTTTACTGATTAATTGAAGTGCCTTGATTTATGAATGTCTCACGCAATAGCCGTGAATTCAGCATCATAAAAATAAATAAGAAATCGACATGTCTACTACGTACATGGAAGTATGTATGTATACTATGGTGGACCAAAAATGCATAGGAAAATCTCCTTTTTTCATTTATCCTGCTGCCAACCCCAGAAGTGAACAATATCATAAATAAGGAAACACGTATTTTTTTAATTTTGGTTAATATAAGTGCCGCCAGGGCTTTGAAGTTTCCCAGGTATTTCACATTTGGAAAATACAGTTTTTCGTAGAATTGCTATAAAATCGTTAAAAATAAATATGGTGTTGATCGAATATAACTATTTCCCTTCATAATGCTTTTTTAACTTAAAAATTTTACCAAGTGGGTTTTAATAACCGATATTCCTTTGTGCTATATACAAAGATTAGTTTGTTTTTCTTTTCATAACCACATCACGCAAGAACAGCACAATGGATGCGTTTACTTTTCTTTCATTCTACTCGATTATTTCTGTAGGTATGTGGTAAACAATTTAAAAAAATAGGGTTGTCAGATATTTAAAAAATTATAATTATTTAAAGGCTGAATGAAAATATTTGGTTTCTTCATCAAAACTCAAAGCGTTTGAAGAGATCTTTGTATTAAAATATTAAGCTTATTTAGTACCACAATATGGGTATCAAATGGAAGGTTTATGCACTCCCAGGAAAGGTTTTTGAAAATACATACTTTAATTTACATATAGTTTTTTATAGGGTTGCCATTTATCTATAATAATCAAACAAAAGGTGTTAAAATAAAGTTTTGACCACTAAATATTTCTGGATTGGTTGGCACCTATCTAAAAAATTAAAATGAGTGCGATATATCGTCGCTACCATGTCAAACTATCGAATGTGCAAAAATGCATATTGAATCATTTTACTTAACTTACATAATTACCTACCTCATCTTAGTTAACAGATGGGTGGCAACCCTATTTAAAAACATTCTAGTCCAAAGCTTATGCGTACACCTTTCATGTGATACCCATATTGTGGTATTAAATAAGCTTACATTTTTAATAATCATTGTTATATTTTTTGGAAAGGTGGCAACCCCGTTCAAAAATATTTTTAAATATCTTCCAACGCTTTTAGTTTTGATGAAGAAACTTAAATATTTTATTGACCTTTAAATAATTTTAAATTTTCAAATATCTGGCGACCCTATATTTCAAAATTTTTTTACCACAAACCTACAGAAAACATCGAGTAGAATCCAAAAAGAATTAAACACATCGATTGAGCTGTCCGTTCGTGATGTGGTTATGAAAATATAAATTAACCAATCTTTGTATATGTTACCGGCCCGATTCGATCTTACGACAAAATAGTTTTTCCTAGGCCAAAGTAGTTCTACCTAGATCCAATATATCCGTCCAAGCGGAAACAAGTTGGATGCAACAATATTGTGAACTGCGTAGCTGGATTTGGACTGATGAGGGTTATTTTTTTGAAGAGCAGCCGAATTCTGTCTGCCGGAAAGGTGTTCTGGGCGAAAATACTGTGGCCCCTGATCTGGCTTAGCCTCGGTAAAACTAGTTTGTCCTAAGATCGGGTTTGGCCATTACATATATAACAGATAGGATTATCGGTTATTGAAACACGCTTAGTAAAATTTTTAAATTTATTAAACATCATTACACTAAGGAAAATAATGCATGGTAAAAATTAATACTTTATATTTGGTTATCGTTTAAAAATGTTCGTATTTAAAAATAATTAGGGTACTCACAGTTCTACATTATCTACTGTGTTTATTTTGCCACCTGGTAACTTTTCGGGTACTCTATATTATCCACTGTGTTCATTTTGCCACCTGGTAACTTTAAAACATTTTACCATGTGGTAACTTTGTTTGTTGTTGGTTCCCATACTAATTAGAGATAACACTTTTGGGTAAAATTAATCGACTTTGTCTCATGTTTTTGTTTTGTGTTAAACTCTCATCTCTGATCAGATAATTATTCGCGCTAAGAACAAATGGAAAGTGAAGCAGAAAAGCATAAGGTGGGCGCAATTTGAAAGATTTTTAAATATATATCTTACTGTATTTGTTTTACTGATCATTTGAAACACATGTGTGAAGGATTGCTCACAGTTCGAGTGTGTTATCCTGTTAAAGTTGCACCCATTTAACTTTAAAAGTAAACTGTGAATACACTAAACATTTTTATACGAAAATGTGTTAAAAAAAAAATTTGGGAAAACCTGCTGAATCGTTATAATTTTTGTGAAAAATTTGAAATGACGATTTTTATACATATATCTTATTACATTAAACGAGCAATTCTTGTATATATATATCTATAGGGTTCTCGGAAATGGCTCTAACGATTTTGTTGAAATTTTGTACACAGATAATGTTTTGGATTTTAAGGTTACCTGAGTAGGCATTATTTCCGAGAAGACTCGTATAAGGTTGCCTCCTATTCGAAATTAGTTACAAATTAATTAAAACATTATAATATGGGTATCAAATGAAAGCTATTTTAAAGGTCCCTAATTAAAAAATATTTTTAATAGGGTTGCCACCTATTTTGAACAGCAAGTATATTTAATTTTTTGTTTAGAAAAAAAGGTAAACTATTACTATTCACGGTACCAGGACAAGTTTCTTAGTCAATGCTAACCCCATATGCAAAATGTTATCCACTTGGATAATTGTGTAAGGTTGCCACTTATTTTCGATTCTTCACAATTTATCTGAAACACCGCAATATGGATATCAAATGAAAGGTATTGTTGAGAACTTTGTTCAGAAGATATTTTCGACCAAGGCTGCAATCCTTCTGTGTAATACAAATTTGTATTTTGTTAATTTCAATCAGCATTTTTTGTAAGTATACACAGTACATATACGCTTAAGATTTGTACTATTGATTGCAGCGTATTTCGGAAGGGGATTGCCTCTTAAATTTTAGTGTAAGAAATTTACAGAAAGATATCGAAATCCATTTGGTTTTTTTTCAATTCCAAAATATTTTTTCAAAGCCATCCAAATCTTTAAAACTTTATAAAGTATATGCACTCCGGGCAAAGCTCGGTCAACCTGGTAATTGTGTTTATAAAATTATGAATTAGACTTTTATATAAGGCGAAACTGGTCAAAATGTCTCACTGCTATTATTTCGCATATAGGTACATATGTACATATATGTGTGTAAACATGTCATAATACCTATATTTCGGTGTATTTCCCACCGTAATTGGAATTCTGTGTAATTTTACTATGAATTTATGTATATGTCTAAGGAATCCTTCATAAACTGTAATAATTTAGCTAATTAATAATTATTATATTATTTCAATGTATTTTAAAAATATTATTTCTAAAAAGATGTTGTTCTTAAAACGCCTGAAAAAAAATTTAATTTTGTGGCAATTTTTTTTTGCACATTTTGAAATTAATATATGTTTCTCCTTATTTGTGATATTCTTCAGTTTATACCACCCCCGATTTCTACCCACCCTCGTTTAAGAAAAAGAAGAAGAATAGATTGGCGCTTACACATATCGAGCCCTAACCGACAAAATAGCGTAAGCGACACTTTTTTCAAAATTTTCTTTTTGATGCAGAAATTGTCCTAGAGCATCTAGATGCATTTCTGCATCAAAAAGATTATTTGAAAAAAATGTCGCTTACGTTATTTTGGCGGTTAGGGCTCGATATGTTAGAGTGCGCCTTGATGTTGTCACACAAAGGGGAGGGATCTACAATTTTACGCCGACTCCGAACGGCGATTGTATTTTTATGAGAAGCTCGGAGGTTTTCCATTGCCTTCCGGGCTTGAACCCAGGCCCTGCGGAGTGGTAGCGCACTGCTAACCACTACACCACAACGGCGGCCAATCTTCGTTTAGTTTTAGTTAAATTTCAAATTTTTTGAGTAATGAATTTTTCCGTCACCCTAAAGAGGTGAAACCCAAATCTTCTAGCGCAGTAATCCCGAGTAACTTTTCTTTTTGGAAACCGACCCTATCTGATTTACATCCAACCAATTGGGCACAGTACATGAAATGATATTACGTCGATATGTATGTATGTATGTATTTATGTACATATGTATATGTTTTCTTATGAATTTATATGTGCGTATCTTTAAAAATACTTTTACTTCTTGCATGCAGTTGAAATATGTATTAGATATATTCGTTTTTCGTTAGTAAATTTATATGATGCGTTAGTAAGTAAGAGAAGATAGCAAAACAATTTTGAAGGTTCCAGAGTAAAGTTAAACTTACTTAAAATATAACTCTGCAGATGATATTGTTTTGGCATTATGGTGCATAACACTAACACTATCACTGATATTATTCAATGTTCCACTAATGTTTGCAACAACGGCTTTGCCAATATCAAGCAGCGACGCTCCAGTCGACAACTCAATACCATGCTCTGGTGTGGCCATTGTTCCGGATGCAACACAGGTTTCATTCCATGCATCTTCGCAAACTGTCCAAGGTAATGGTGATTTGAATGATTCAAACAGATAACGTACAATCATGCCCATAATGGCGACATAGTAGGTGGTCACAATCGAAATTGACAATACTTGACCAATGCCAATACCTTTGAAGTTAGCAAAATTAATACGTTCACAATTAATGAGTTATGCCGATATGGATGTATGAATGCATTTACAGCTTACAATATACGTACATAAGTATTTATACACGTCTATGCAATATGTACATAGTATGTATTCTATATACATATCGCCCTTTTACTTCTATAGTGTCATAATCCAAAATACTTAATACAAAATCGAATGAAGTTTGCAGAAATGACCGCTTCTATGTTGTATATAAAAAATAATGCGGATCATATGCATTAAAATGACATGTAGGAATTAGAAAATCAATTTTTTAATATTTTTGTTTATTAGGAAATATTGAAAAAGCAACAAAGTATAAGCGGTAGAAGTTATAGCAGCTATTTCGGAGATCACCACATCTCCTATTATATTTTAAGACTTCCACCTAAATATTTCGGAAAAATATTAAGATTTACGTGAGCTGGACCGATTTGAAAATACCTACAAAAATAGAGTTTTTTTATGAATAAAAATGTTTTTTGTTTTTTTTTTTAAATTGCATACATACCTCAGATGACAAAACAGTTTCAGCTTAAAAAATTTCTACACAAATATAAAAAAAAATATCTGCGGAATCAGCCCAGTAAAATTAGACATTTTCTTAAAAAAAAATGTAACAACGATTTTTTGATGCAGTTCACTTCTATTTGACACGTAGATCAGGGATCCTCAGTCTTGCCCCTAAATTTCATACGGCAACATTCCGCCATCTTGGATTTCAGTTTTTTGGGGTTTTTTTGCGATTTGCAAGCTTATTTTGCATTTTTCGTAAAAAATGGTTGAATACAAATATGTAGAGAATTGCATTTCCCACAATTGTTATGTAGAAGGTTTTTTAAAACTAGCATTTTTTATTGTAGAAAATTAAGAAAAACTGCGAAAAAAATTTACATTGTCACGGTTTTCGCAATTTTTGACGATTTCTGTGGAAAATACAAGCATATTGAAATTCCAAAGACGTATAAGAGAATTTTATTCTTCATAACTTTTATACCTACATCTATTTTTTTTGTACGGCGCTCAGATCACGGCCGAGAAAGTGCCAAACATAGCGATTAGCCCAGTAAAATTAGATAAATTTTGGTAGGAAAAAAAATAAAAAATTTGACACGTAGATCATGGATCCACAGTCTTGCCCCTAAATTTCATTTGGCAACATTCCGCCATCTTAGATTTAGCTGTTTTTTTTTTTGCGATTTGCAGGCTTTTTTCGTAAAAAATGTCATTGTCACGTTTTCCGCCATTTTTTGACAATTTCTGTGGAAATACATAGCATATTGAAATTCCTAAGATGTAGAGAATTTTATTTTCCACAACTTTTGTATCTACATTTGTTTTGTATGATGCTTAGATCACGGTGGGGAACGCGATAAACAGAGCGATGTACGGTACAAAAAAGTGGATCCATGATCTACGTGTCAAATAGAAATCAACTGCATCAATAAATAGCTGTTACAAATTGTTTTCAAATTTCCTATCAAGTTTATTTAATTTTACTGAACTAAATCGTAATAATGAGATTCTTGAGGCTGTTTTTGAACTTTTTCAAAGTTTGGTTTAAGAAAAACTTGAATAACTAGCCAAGACTATACCGATTAACACTTATAAGGTATCAGTGAGGAGGTATTTTCTCACCCTTTCATTCAATTGCAAATAAACTCATTCAAAATATGAAAGAGAAAGGTAGGATGAACGAGCGTCATTCCAAGCCTAATTAAGATGTGCTGATATTTAAACAGAAAAAAGTGGGATGGGGTTTTTTGCAAATAAATAAAAACAGTGAGAAAATACATTTCCACTGATACTTTATAACTCTAAATGGGTACAGTTTCGGCCCAGTAGTTCAAGTTTTCCTTAAACCAATCTTTGAAAAAAGTTTAAAAACAGCATCGAAAATTTCATTTCATTTCAAAAAAATGTAATATTTTTATGCAGATTTGGTAAGCTTAAACTGTTTGATCTGAGGGGATGTTTTCGTTTTAAATTCTTTAAGACACTATTTTTTTCATAAAAAACTCCATATTTGAAGGTATTTTCACGTAAAATATTTTGGTAAAAGTCTTCAAATATGTATAATACATTTTGTAGTCCCGGTGAAAAACCGCATTTTTTTTAGTTATGAACTCTATTATGTATGTATGTAAGTACATAAATAGATACGTATATTTGTACGACTAAATATATGAAGGCAATAATGAATACGTAAATAAATACTTTAACAGATGTATGTACATATTTACATGTATGCTATGTATCTAGTTCATATTTTGAGTAATTGCACTTGTGAAAGGATGGACTCACAATTTTTTTATATGAAATTTGTCGAGTTATGCGCTTCTGAAGAATAATAAAAATGAAAATTAAGTTTTTTTAAAGTAGTTTTGCGTACTGAAAAAATTCAGAGAATTTTAAACTTCGCGATTCTAAAAGAAAATCTCGTCAGTTTTTGAAAAACGAAACCAGTTTTCCAAAAAAGAAAAGGCGGATAAAGTTGAAAACCTGCTTCAGAAAACCGCGCTAAACATATTCTCATTGTCAAGCTTATTAATTATATGATGAAATCTCTAAAAACGTAAATTTTGAATTTGAACATGTGATTTGTATTAAATATATCCTCTAAAATTTGTTAAATTAAAATTTTTCCTTTTACCATCCATATTTGCCGTTTATTTTACACGGGCATAAAGTCGATTGACATTGTGACCCATTGACTTTATGTCCCATTGAAGTGGTCATAATGTCAGCTGACCTTATGACCATGGGCCTTGTTTCACCTCACCTGTATTTACATACATACATATGTACGTATATGGGGAAAATACGGTTACATTAACATTGCGATGTCATTGGACCTGGCCACCTCTAGTCCAACGCTGCATAACATGGGACCACTTCTGGTCCATCGCGGCATAACTTGGGACCACTTAGACAACTACTCCTTTTGGAACATGGCACATTCGACAGCCGAATCATATTGCCCATGGGCCAAGAAGAGGTGGTGTTCAATACATATATCAGTTTTTTACGTTTGAAGTGGTCCAGGTCAGCATAGTATGGTGTCAGTTACTAGTATGCAACCTGGTCCTTTTGCACATACATACTTTAAAACTACGACCCAGTGGACCAACTGGTTCTCGGTTTTTTGCAGGGTAGATGTACTTAAACATTGAAGTTAGCATTTCATTGTCACTACAGACAATATTTGCGACTATCGAAAACACGTACAAGTACAAAAGCTCGGTCGTCGAAGTAATATAAAATTAGTGTAAACTTAAATTTGCGCAGGTGATTTTCAAACAAATGAATGAATATTTAATTAACGTAGGATTGTACTTTTACACATACATATGCGTGTATATATTTATACGAGCAGTAAGAGACAAGTTGCTTTAGCTTTCTTTGTAGCTGTTTTGTGTACTTTACCAACCGGTTTTCGGGCATAATTAATAATTTATTCACCGTCTTTCAGCGTATATACTGCAAGTCAAGAAACGGGTAGGGTTTCTTTCTTAATGCTACGCTACTATTCTTGGAAATGGTCATGATGAAATAGATTCAAAAGTAAACTTTTTCTCTCAGAAGTTGTTATGACTAGTTTGTTAAATAATAATTGAGATATTTCCTCAATTGTTAAAGGTTTGCTAAAAACACAAGCTACAAAAATCACACTGACCATTCCATAAAAACCTATGTATTTTAGATACATATATTTCTCCCTTCTCACAGTAGAACTCGACAACAACAACATTTTGGGGGGCTACATAGCGGGAAATACTTAACTGTAGTAGTTTGTCTGAAAATTTCTTTAATTTCATGTTCCTGATGAGATGATTTAATAATTTTACCAGAAATTTACTAGGTTGAGTGAGAACTCATCAGTCTCAGTAAAAAAAAAAAAACAGAATATCAAAGACAAAAAGTCAAAATTTCATAACTGGTGTTGGTGAAACAATTAAAATATTCTTATAGCTCTCTGATTTTATTGTTTTTGCATGTGTGTTATTATATCATGTCTCCGATTCTCTTCAAATTTTTTACAGGTTTATACATGAAATAGGCTATCCCGTATTCGAGGATTTCTTTTTTTTTTTCTTCGGAGATATCTGTCAAAGTTTTGATTTTTTCGTGATTCTGACTAATCGGGTACTACTCATCGTAGAGATTTCGTCTTAACGTCGTTTTAAAGCTAAAGAAACGGGCTTAGTATTTATATATGTATATAAGATGGTCGTGATTGTCCTAAAGCTAACTTAGCTATTAACAGTTGAACTTTTTGAAGTTGATTTGCATAGTGATGACCAGTAAATTTCCGATTTAAAATTACAACATCGTAATCCTTGTTTAATTTGATGCATTACTGATGTGCTGTAGTCAATATCATGGTTTCCATAAATTCAGATGCTGAGGGATCATTAAATTTCTCCTTTGGCTGCTTCAAAATGTCAAGAATTTTTATTGCTGCGTCAGTTTGAGTGCATTTATGCTTTCGCTCGGTATTTCACTATATCCAACATCTTCATTAGCTGGTTTTTCGTTTAAAAGTTCACTTAAAAACATAAAGTAACTTTTTTAAGAGCCTAAAAGCGGTGTCGCAACCAAAGAATAAATTTGTGAAGTGGGCCATTTTTATTTTTCTTTTATCCCTGTGAAGCACAAACAGATAGGCTGTCTTCCAAAACATATCAATACAATGTTTGGATACTGTTATACTGCGGTATTCAAACTGTTTGTATATGCAAAGTTGCGACACAGTGCAACCATATACATTGCATGTTTTAAATATTCAATATAGCAATGAATAATTTTTCTGAATTTACCATTTTCAAAACACCAATGGTAACCAATAGGTAACAAGCTAAGCGAACTTTGTTTCTGATGCGCTGATTGCTCTAGCGATGCGTTTCGATAACTTTTCGGATGCGTTTTGGGAAGGTATATATTGTCAATATTTTGTAGTTCGGCGATATGGAACATTATACTTTGTACGTATGCAAAGCAATTGACGTTTTGGAAGTTATTTAGTATTAATTACACAAAAAAAGCTCGATCTTCGAAAAAATTACTACAATTACTCAAAATATGAACGAATTCTAAAGCGTCACTTTTTTCTGTCCGCTTGATGTCAAATGACCCTAAGTCAAAAATGATTTGAATCAGGAATCCTCTGCGGTTCATAATAAAAACTTTACACATAAAAAATTTATATGTGATTCTACATTCTTACATATGTATGTATGTATGTCCAATATGTATGTATGTGTATGAATATATCTCACGTTTAAAGCTCGAACAGTCAACGACGTAACACGTAACGTCAACAGTAAATTTGATATGCTGCTACGTACGTTAACCTAAGTTTACGCTACTTCGTTGACTAACTGAGCTTTTAATATAAATAATAAAGGGAATAATTCAAAACTTAAATTTTATGTAAAAGGCAATCAAAGTTTGATTAATTCAAATATAGTGGAATCGCGATAACTAACAATGTTTAGGTGGCCTCTTGGATTACGAGCTATTGCGATTGCACTGTAGTTGGTATATAAAAAAATAGTTGGAGATACGCATATCTTCGCCATTTTTGAGGCCTGTAGTCTGTTAAGGCTGGTTTTCACTATGTCATATTTGCACGTCAGAATTTGTCTACATATTTTGGCACAACTTTATCTCCTTTATGTATATGGGCCAAAACCGACAGCCGATTTAGCAGCGCATGTACACCACTAAATTCCTATCCTGATAGAAATTAATCGATAAGCCGCTTTTTAATCATATTTGATCATGGTTTTTTCTTTTCTTTGACGACCAATGCCATTGAATTTGATATGGTGAAAACAAGCCTTTACACTGAACATATTCCTCTTATAGAGCTTATTGCTGGTATGCTAAAATCTCCAAAAACGTAAATTTCGAGTAAATTCTCTTAATTATTATATATGTATGTACATTCTTGGCACGTATTAAAAAAATTACCTCTCATCGCTGGACACAAATTGAAAACTTTGACGGAACCGCAACTTGAGAACTGGCCGATCGCCATTTCCAGATAGTAAATTGGTTTGCCGACTAAGAACAATACGATTAAATAAGGGATCAAGAAAGCTCCTCCCCCATTGTCTAGTGCTGTAAAGGGAAACCGCCAGACGTTACCCAGGCCAACAGACATAGCTATACAAGAGAAGAGAAACTCAACCCCTTTCCCCCATGTGGCGCGTTCGTTTTCCAGAGTTTTCTTCGTAGGCTGACTCTACAGAGTAAAGGAAAAGATTAAATTAACAAAAGTTAACATATGTAAGTATGTTTGAATATACTAAAGAGCTGCACAATCCCTTCATAAATGGCTTGCTAGCCATCAGATCTCATTTCAAGCATAACAAACTCCCTTTCCCGCATAACAAAACAACTACTACACTAGGGCTGCCATAAGCCTGAACCCATCATCCAAATCAAAATCGAAGGCACAAGTGAAGTAATTTCTGATATTTAGCCCAGTTAAATTAGATCAAATTGGTACGAAGAAAATTAAAAATGTGTAGCAGCAATTTGACACGTAGATCATGGATCCACAGTCCTGCCCCTAAATTTCATATGACAACATTGCGCCATCTTCGATTTTAGGGTTTTTGGGGTTTTTACAATTTGCAAGCTTACTTTGCATTTTTAATAAAAAATGGTTGAATACAAATTTGTAGAGAATTTAATTTCCCACATTTGTTATATAAAAGGTTAAAAAAAAAAAAACATTTTTTAATGTGAATAATTACAAAAACTGCGCATTTCTTTATCTTCAGTACGATGGCCAAAATTTTATAGGACGGATTACAAAGATTCAACTTTATAAGCAAGGATTCTTAAGGTCTCTGATTACGAATCTAAACTCAGATCAGATTTTTACTAACATGATGCTCATACGCCACGTACGTATGCGCGACTTCAATTTTTTCCATGATAAATGGTAGATCCAATAAGGATCCGCCATTTGAATTTTTAAATCCGATTTCAGATTCGTAATCAGAGACCTTAAGAACCCTCTTTGTAAAGCCTTAAAGGAATCTAATCAATTTAAATTTTTTGTCGCCATATTGGATCCGCAATTTTGAATATTTCCACTCCGACTTCAGATTCTTAATCACCAACCCCAAAAACCCCCGCGGAAAACGTCTCAAGTGAATTGGATCGACTTGAATTTTTGTTGTCCATACTGGGTCTGTCATATGAATTGATTTTCCTCAGATTCGTAATAAGCGGCCCAAGAACTCCAGAGGAAAACGTTTCAATTTTGATTTTTTGGCCGCCATATTTGATTCGCCATTTTGAATGTTTACAATTAAACCTCTAGTTTCGTAATCACCAACCTCAAATCATAAGAACCTGCTGTTACTTTCTACTTTTTTGTTTGGGTCCTCCGGTGGCGCAAAAGTTGTAAAACAAAATCTAATTTACGTTTAGCTTATACGCCATGTTGAATATTGTATAATGCCACACTATTTTTACTGGCGGCCCTCTATTAGGGCTGCCAGACGTCCCGGTTTTCCCGGACATGTCCCAGTTTTAGACTATTTGTACCGGTGTCCCGGTCAAACCTTAAAATGTCCTGGGTTTCGTTGTAGTGTCCCGGTTTTTGATTTGATTGCACAAATTTGAATAAAAGTTCAAAAATCACTACACTAAGGGAAAAACGCGTTGTAATAATCAGAAAAATGTTATGAATTCACTGAGGGAAATAACGCATAGTAAACATGAGTATTTTCTATTTGATTATCGTTTAAAAATGTTCGTATTTAAAAATAATACTTTCATAACACGCACGCGTGGTGTTGATTCAAACTCAACATTTAAATGCACATTTACATGTCTGGCTGTAGCTGAGTGCGCGACGATGCTTGCCACAATTTGCTAATTTCCAGAGGGTCAGGATTCAATTCCCATTACTACCAGCATGGAATTTAAATATTTTTTTAACTTAATTATGAAAAAGCAATCGGTAATTGCAAATCGCTTCATTTTAATATGGGCGTATTTGAATTGAATATTTCTATACTAAATACTAAAATTTGTATACTTAAATGTATTACGAGTTGGGTTGGTGCACTTTCATATGCGTGTTTTTGTTTAATTTAGCACGCTTTTTTAATTCTAAACTTCTTTCTCTCAGTGCACTGGTTTAATTTGTGAAATAGTCATATTTCGAGATAGTTGAACTTTGCACAAGCAATAGTTGATGATTAGTATATCGATGGCTGAGTGGAAGATCGACCTATCTCGGCAGCCAGTTCGAAAACGCCCTATCTCAGAAAAGTTTTCAACAACGCTTTATCTCAGAAAACTTTTCCAGAACGCCCTACTTCAGAATTTGATTGAAAAACGCCCTAGCTCAGTATTTAGTTGAAGAACGCCCTATCTTAGATGCCGATTCAAAAACGCCCTATCTCAGCTTATTTTCAATGTATTTTCCTTTGAGATAGGGGGCGTTTTTGAACCGAATTCTGAGATAGGGCGTTATTCAACCAAATTCTGAGGTAGGGTGTTTTTCAATAATATTCTGAATTAGGGCGTTTTTCAATCAAATTCTGAAGTAGGGCGTTCTTGAAAAGTTTTCTGAGATAGGGCGTTTTCGAACTGGCTGCCGAGATAGGTCGATCTTCCACTCAGCCATCGATATGTACCTAAATACGTTCAAAATTACGTACACGGAGTTTTACACTTATAATAAGGAAAAGACAGAAGTTTTGAAACAAGTTCACAGCAACGAAAAATATGACTGATATTTTGATTTTATCTTGTACTTATATTTTTTTCTTTCATGAAAGCTAGAGTACTTATAAGTACAGTGCCATACAAAATTATTGGCTCGGCGGCTCTTTAATCAGATCACAATTTCTAATCTTTTTAGAAAATTTTTTAAATTTAGCTTTTGAGCCAATTAATAAAGTGCAAGTCTGAAGTTGCCAGCAAATTTCGTTGATTTTTAGCATTTATTTTTTTTTTGCTGACAGTGTCTTCCATATAAAAAGAATTATTAAACATAGTTTGTATGGAAGAAACTCTCAGTAAAAACAATACCAAAAATCAACTTAAGGTTAATGGGCTGCAAAACTTCATTTTAAAAATTTTTTATAAAAAGTCTGATTAGAATGTTGCAAATTTGTATACAAATTTATTGAATTTTCCTGAGTTTAGCACAAAGTTTAACAATTTTATTTTTATGTTTTTTCATATATTTAGTATAAACTGTATTTTTATAAAGAATAAAAAAGGTTCATGCATTGTAAAAAATTCTATGTGCTTTAGTTGTGATAAGTTGTTTTGTTTTGTTGGCGTACATTGTAATGATCTCATGATCTCATGTTTTTATGTTTTTGTTTTTGTCTGTCAATATAAAATTTCCCTACATCCTTTCGCACGTCGAAATGAAAGAGAAGGGAGCGAGAGGCCCTCCCTAAAGTGTCCCGGTTTGACAACAGTGATATCTGGCAGCCCTAGCCTCTATGTTATCATTGTAAGATCTTAATCTTTGTAGTCCATCTTATAAAATTTTGGCCATCGTACTGTACCGGTTAACGTATACTGAAATGAATTTTAAGCCAATTCCCTTATATCTCTATGTTTAGCACGTTTCCGGTCATGATCCAAGCGTAAAAAAATGTTCTTATAAAAGGTGTGGAGAATTAAATTCTCTATAACTTTGGGATTTCAATATGCTACGAATTTTCACCAGAAATTGTTGAAAAATGGCAAAACCCGTGACATTGTAAATTTTTTTCGCAATTTTTGCAAATTACACTGGATCACAAATTTTAATTTGATTTTTGTTCTCCCGACGCCATTATCCAATTTGTATGTAGAATCGCGCGCTGATTCCAAAACTCGAGCTAGATTTTTTATTTTACCGTTATTCAGCTCAAAGCAAAAACAGGTTCTATGTCAAATTTTTGGAGTTGTGCTAAAGCCTGTTCTGTTACAAACAAATCAAGATACTAATGAAGAAAATCCGTGGATAAATAAAGAAGTAATGAGTGGTCTAATGAAAATGCGCAAAGATTTTGTGTATGAGAAATGAGCAGGAAATAATGTTACTCATACGCCATGTATACCTTATTAACACGCTTTTATGCTCATGTTTCATACAAAAAATCTTTGCGCATTTTCATTTCACCACTCATTACTTCTTTATTTACCAGTGGATTTTCTTCATTAGTAACTTGATTTTTTTGCAACAGAACAGGCTTTACCATAAAAAAAAAATTGGAATGATTAATTAATTTGTTAGAAACTATCAGACCTATCGAAAAGTGATGTATATACGGTCTATATAAAATTCTGTTAGCTTTCATTTGCCATATTAGATATTAAGGGCCGGTTACTCAATCTCTGGTTAACACTAATCTCCGGTTAAACATAGTTATCGACGTTACCGACTCCCTGTTGTATGCATGGAGTCGAAGACGTCGATTACGATGTTTAACCGCAGATTAGTGTTAACCAGACGTTGAGTAACCGGCCCTAAGATTTTTAAATCGGTTCGTAAGATATACGTGATTAAGTGTAACCTCTTTGAAAATATCTTGAAAATTTATTGCACGGACGTTTTTAATTTTTAACCGATTTCCAAAAAAGGAGGAGGTTATCAGTTCGTCGGAATATTTTTTTTTTTTTTTTTTTATGTATGTTACCGCATAACTTTGCACCACGTCAACCGATTTCGATAATTCTTTTTGCAAAGGTAGTGTCTCAGAGGTGGTCCTATACTAATCTGGTTAAGATCCGATCAGTGGATCATGAGATATATATATATATATATATTTGTTTTATATGAGAGTTGAAGTCGGTTTTTTTTTGCTAAAAATTACTTGTTTATTTTTATTTTCTTATTTATAAATTCTATTTATAGATGAGGCATTCATGCCACCGCGCCACCTCTGTGCGCGACCTCTCAGAATTCGGATGAAAGTTAAAGAGATTGAAGGTCTAGGTGACATGAATGTCCGTGCAGCATATTTTGCCGATACGACGTAGGGTTGCCTATTTACACGGGACTTAAATTTTAAGAAAACGTCATACATACCTTTCTTTAAAGTGCTGTATCTTGGAAACCTTTTAACGAGACTTAATGAAATAAATGTATTTCTTCCGTCTTATTACGGGCTTTAATTATACATTTTTTATATTAATGTGCAATGTGAAAAAAAACAAAAAAAACTAAGTAAACATTTTTCTTTTTGATTTTTATTTTTTGTGATGTTTAAA